GATAAAGGAACGGAGCCCAGGAGGGGAAGTGACTTACTTACCTGAGGTCACAGAGCAAAACAGACACAGACAAGAACCTCGTCACCAACTTACACTTGATCTTAGCCAAAAGGCCGAGAAGCGATACCTCGTCACCAACTTAAAAGCAATCACTAGGTACCCACCCAGGGGCCCCACGTACAGGGAGCCGTCGGCCGCCCTCACTCACCTGAGCACCCTCCCAGCTGCTCCACAGAGCTATGGAGCCATCACGGGCCGGCGGTCAGGACTCTGACAAAGCTACATGGCAAGCAGGGTCAACCCACAGCTTTCCCATCGTGCTCGAATCACCGGCCCAGCTGGCCAGGCTAGAAGTGACGTCCCAAGAGCTCATGATTGCCAGCTCATTTAAGAAGAGCTGATCTAGGGGCGCCTGGGTGGCTCGGTCGTTAAGCGTCATGCCAAGGTCATGATCTCAGGGTCCTGGGATCAAGCCCTGCATCGGGCTCCCTGCTCCGCGGGAAGCCTGCTTCTCCCTCTCCCACTCGCCCTGCTTGTGTTCCCTCTCTCACTATCTCTGTCAAATAAATGAATAAAATCTTAAAAAAAAAAAAAAAAAAGAGCTGATTTTGTTCTGGAACACTCGGGGCAGGGGCCCTCCACACTGCTGTCGAGAGCAGTCTGTCGGGCAGCACCCGTTTCTGGTATGAAGCCACAGCCCCAGTTCTGCCCGTGAGATGGCACAGCCGCCGTCTCGAACACACCAGCTGCTCTCAGTCGCCCCGTGATCATATTATCTCTAGCTCATCGAGCGGGGCATCTTGTAACCCAACCTCTGGGTCCCACATTCTCCATTCGCTCTGGCTTGTCAGTGCGCTCAGCCGGGAACGGGTTTGAGGAGAGGAGGCCACCTGCACACAGGACCCTTCGTGGGATGACCAGAAACATGACTCCATCTTCTCTCTCCTCGGCAAGCCTGAGACCGCAGCTTTGGGGTTTTATCAGCTGCCCCACCCCTTTCCCCACTGGCCCCCTCCATCTGTAGTCGCTCCTGTCAACCTCTACGCATCACCCCCTAGAGACTGTACCACACAGCTGGGGAGACAGTCCACCGGTGGCCTTTTTGTTCGCTCTGTCACACCACAGCACTTCCTGCGTGGCGGACACAAGGCCAAGCGCAGGGAGGCACAGACAAGCCCGCTCTCACCCGCCAGCTCCCAATCTAGCAGGAAGGCCCCCGTGCCCTCCATTCACGATGGGAGGAGCGGCCCGGGACACGGCTGCAGCACGCCCGAGCTTGGGAGCACAGAAGAGGGCAATGTGGCAGAGGGGGCTTCTCAGAAGAGGTGAATTTGGAGCCAGGCCTTGAAGGGTGAACAGGATTTCCTGACAAATGAAACTAACAGGCCCAATCAGGAAGTGACTGCAAGAGCTGAGTTAGAAGAGAGGAGGTCTCAGAATGGAGGGGGGCAGACGTGAGAAGAGCCTAACTTAGCGGCCAATTCGCTACAGGGACAGAGGCACAGGAAGGTGTTTCCAAGGCGGTGGCCTGTGCCTGTTAACTGAAGGAACAGACAGCCCAACTGTCTCCATGAAGATCTGTACTCTAAGCGCTCCTGCATGACCCTACCACCAGCTGTCAGGGTGACCCTAAACCTGTCACTTCCCCTCTCGGACCCCAATTTCCTCATGTGCAAAAACAAGGAAGTTCCACTAGATGTTTTCCAAGGCTCCTTGCAGCTGCCAACAGTCACCAGACGTTAAAGAACCACTGAGGCAGACCAGCCTTGGGCAACTGGTTTGGTGACCAGCCACACCCTCCCCTCGCCAGGGCACACCCCACCGTCAGGACCAGGTCCTCTCCATAATCCGCTTTGCTACAGTGAGATAAAATTTTCTAAGGCCAAGGAGAGTAGCTACCTCAAGACCTCCCAAAGGCCAGTCAAGTGTCCCACAGCTGCTGTGATAGCTGTCGCCAAAGAGGAAGGACATACACCCTTCAAATGTCACCCCCAGATCACTGAGCTAACCAAGACAGCAAAGTGCTCACACACGCCCCGAACGCGCCCCCTAGAGCCATTTATCTTAGCAACAGGGAATGCTTCCAGCCAGATCAGCTCTCTCTCCACAAGGTCTCTCACCCCACAAAAGGAAAAGTGCAAGAGAAGAGGCATAAGGAGGATATGCTCTGACCTGATTTAAAACAAAACAACGGCAAGCAGAAGGGCAGCTGTCGAGGCAACAGCTAAGGCCCCCAGGACCCCGTGTCCGTGCCTTCACTGGTGGAAGAGGGGCATCTCTCCCGAGGAGAACGCAAGAACCTTGCAGCTACAAGAACCACAAGCAGACACCAAACGCTGGACAAATTCCTGCTCCGTTCAAATAATGAGCAAACCCTCAGAGGAACGGGGAGTTGGGTCTGTTAGTGGCTCTCCTGAGAAGTTGCCTGAGGAGTTGATTAGCGCAGTTTCCAAACTGCTAACCTGGGGAAATCCAGGGCTGCAGCCCTTTGGAAGGCTGGCTACCCTCTACTACATGACATTACCCTTGCAGATGGGAAATGAATTAAGCTCAAAGGGGCCAATTCATTTTAATAAACTAATGAATATGCAGAAGCCCCTGGAAGCAGTGGACTTTAAGAGCTGATGGTAATTAGGCCCCTGCCCTACTTTCTAAAATTGTATTTCCCTGTTAAGGAGCCTGCTCCAGGCCTTATGAGAATCAAGTCAGTCCAAAGAGTTTAGAAGGTTCTGCTCAGGGCAGCGGCCTCTCTGAAACAGCCCTGCCCCTCAGCCTTACCTTACTGAGCGAACTGCCGCCGCCGCAGCTGTCTGAGCTGGCACAGGGCACCACCAACCAGCCCAGCCTCGCTGGGGGCAACAGGTGCTGAGACCCGGAATGCAAAGGGTCACCAGCAACCCACCAGCCTTTGAAATTTCAGTCAATTTAGTAGGGGCAACAACCTACAGGGAGCAGAGAAAGCTGCACACACAGCCTCAGGGGAGGGAGAGGGGAGCACCCAACCCTCACCACGCTAACCACCTTCTCCCTTGGGTGCCAGCTCCCCACCCCAGAGCAACCTCAAAGCTGGGAGGACGTGCCCAGATTCAAGGACCTGGTATTGCCAGAGCCGTGGGAAAGAATGGACCTGGAGCAAATGGACTCTGCTAGATGCGATGCCGGGGGAAGAGCTGGAAAACAGCTCCTGGCCACCACCAAGCTGAACGCATCCCCCCGCTGCAGAGGGGGACTTCCTAAAAGACCACTGACAGGTGTGTGGCTGGGTGTGTGTGTGTGCTCGCAGCCAGCCTGTGCTTTTCCCCCAGATGAGTGCACGCGGGCCCACTGGCCTCAGGGAGAATGCCTAGCCCCTCCTTCCGAGCAAGGCGAGGTGCTGTGTGCCATGGTCCCTTCAACAGGAAGCAACACGGTGTGCAAAGCAGGCCAAAGGGGCCACTACGGGCAAGAGGCCGCAGGAGGATGCGGCCCAGTCCCAGAGCTAGCAAGGACGCTAGGCAAAGGGCACGCACAGCAGCTTTCTGTGTCCGGAGGAATCACAGTCCTCCCAATCAACGACACCCTGGGTTTGGGGGAGGTATGAAAATGGGCAAGGTAACGTCAACCTCACAGAAGGAGAAAAGGTAAGGACCCACCGAGCCCACTACGGATCACTGGATTTCACCTCCTACACTGGAGGGCCCTAGATCAAGAAAAGAAGCAACCCGAAGAGAAAAACACTACAGAAGTAAACGGCGAAAGGGGGAGACAGCAATGCCGCCCTATCTGTGAGTGCCCAAGGCTCCTGCACAACCTCCGAGACGGTTACCCAGCAGGGCACACAACCCCCCCCCACCACGTCGGGATTAGGGTGCTCAACTCTGCCCCTAATCCGTAATCTAGAAGCCTGTCATTTCTCCCGAATAAGCATCAAAGATGAAGAAGAGCTGAGCAGGCGCAGGAGGAGGGAGGAAGGGGGTGGGACTCTGCCTGCGCCAAAGGGACGCATCCGCCAGCCCGCCCGCCCGGCGGGGTAACGGTGTGTGTCTCAAGTCTACGCCGGCGACGCCCCCGCCCCCTCACCAACCGGACTGGAGAATTTCTCTCGGATAATGAAAAGCACTCCTCAAATACAGGAGCCGGGGGGGAGGGGCAGTGGAAGAACGGGGAGAGAGAAGGAAAAAGCAGAGAAGCCGGGCTGAGCAAAGGGTCGCGGAACAGAGAGAGCTGATCAGTGCGGAGGGAGAGGGAGGAAAGGGAGGGAGAGAAGGCAGGAGGGGAGGGGAAGAGAAAAGAGGGGAGGGAGGGGGAGAGGAGGGAGGGGAGGAGGGAGAGAGGGGGGAAGGAGGAGGAGAGGGAGGGAGGGAAGAAGAGGGAGAGGGAGAGGGAGGAGATGGAGGGAGGGAGGGAAAGATCCCAGGACCCAGCGGGCTTTGCACTCACCCGTGTTGTACACGTGCAGTTCGTCCACTATCCCCTCGTTCCCGCCGCCAAACACCACGATGAGTTCCTTGATGGCCACGGCTCGGTGGCCGTGGCGGGGCCGGGGCACTGGACCCGACCAGCCCACCACTCGCTTCCAGCGGGGCTGCAGGAGAACCGCCGGCGAGTTGGCGGGCGACACGGCCGAAGCCATAGTTCCGGGAAAGGCCGTAGTGGGAAAAAGTCACCTAGCGGGAAGGGAGCCCCCCAATTCCTCTCACACACACCCCCTTTCGTCTAAGGTAGCTCTCACGGAGAAGCGGTTCCTCACACAGCGGTGGACGGCTCCATGGAGGCCGCCATCTTAACTACCCTCCTTCCCTTCGGCTCTTCCCCTTCTTCTAGCTCACCCCGTCTCTTCAAGAGCCTCCCGAAACTTTCGAGCGCCTAGCCCCGAGAAGCTGGAGGCCGCCAAGTCTCGCCGCCCTGACTACTCGCTCGGACGCTCCCGCTTACAAGCTCGGGCGGGAGGCCCTGGGAGCCGCCATCTTGAGCCGCCTCTCTCTCCTCCCTTCCTCAGTCGTAGCCCTCCCCCGCCGGAAATGGCGGAGCCCCGGCCCGGTTCCCACACCCCCCAAGTCCCCTGCACTGGCCGGCTTCCGGGGCGGGTGGAAAGGAGCCACAAGCACCGCGGTTGTCCCAGCCCCGCCGGCGCTCACACCACAATTGTGGGAGCCGCCATCTTGAGACCGTCCCGCTTCCCCGCCCAGCGCTTAGTGCAGCCTCCGCTCCCGAAACAGCCTCGACACTCGTAAGGAACAGAGGCGCGCCGGAGGCCAATGGAACGAACTCGAATGCTCGGGGGCTGCTCGGAGACTTGCGCCGTACAGCTCGTGAGGTCTCGAACCTCTCCCCCAAGTCCGCCTCTGCTGCTCAGGCTGCGCCTGCCGCCCTGGGAGCCGCCATCTTGAGACTAACTCCCCCTTCCCCCCTATTCTCTTCCTCCTGGGTCAGTTCTTCCACTGCAAACCAAACGCAAGGCAGCGTCCGATCCTCGCTTCCCTCCTTATGACTCCTTCCCACAGGAGCCGCTCCAAAGAGCCAGAGTTAGGCCCCGAAGTGGCAACTGTACGGCAGAAGGAGCGGTAACGGCAGGGCGCTCATGCCTCCTCCCTGGGAGCCGCCATCTTGTGTGAAGAAGTAACAACTAAACATGGCGGCAGCGGCGGTCGGGCGAGGGGGCGGAGTCGGGTGACGTCACTGTCTCTTCCCCCCCCCCCACCCCCGCCCTCGCACGGCTGCTCCGTGAGCCGAGGCCTCTTAAAGGACCCCCGCGCTGCCTCGCGGCGAGGGCCCAGGTCCGCCGCGCGCTAAGCTTGGGCTCAGGCCGCTCTCGGGTCAGGCGCAGGCGCGCCCAGCCCCGCGGCCCAACCCCCCCATTGCGCCCTCACGCCTCCGCCCTGGGAGCCGCCATCTTGCCACTTCCCCTCGCCCGGCCGTCCACGGGCGTCAATAGCGACTTTCAGCACAAAACAAAGATGGCGGTTGAGGCATCTGGTGAATGCCCGGATGAGAATACCTCAAACGAGCTCGTCCCCGCCCCCTTGGGAACAGTCCCCCAGGTCGCTGAAGGAACACACGCCCCAGGAGTTGCATTTAACTAGCAGTGGGGACAAGGCACAGACTGCTGAGGGAGGCTGAAAGGAGACATCAGAATTGCGCCTCGAAAGCGGACATATTCCCACTCCCCACACCCAGCGACCGCGGGAGAAGCGGCCCGAGACGCGCCGGGGCGGGGGGGCGGGGAGTCGGAGGCGGGGCGAGTGGGCGGTGACGTGCCGGCTCCCAGGCTCGCCGGCCCCGCCCTCGGGAGCCGGCGCC